AGGCGCCCCTGGAGCCTGCTTTAGAGTCTGTGTCTCATTCTCTCTCTGCCCCTCCCCTGCTCATACTCTGTCTCTCTCTGTCTCGAAAATAAATAAAAACATTTAAAAAAAATAAAGAAAAAAAAATAAAATATGAACTCTTACAACTTTATTCATTTGTGTATTCTTGGAGCCTAGTGCAACATTTGGAACTAACTTGTTTAAATGAATTGAATGTCACATGAGAGTCCAGTCATGTAAACTACCATCTAAACTGTATGATAAGTGCTATAGTAGAGATATGTTTTTTTCTAAGAGAAGAAAAAAAGAAAGTAATTAAATTTTTCTAATAAATTAAAAAAGGCTTTAGAAAGGAGGTGACATTTGAACTGACACTGAATCATGGTAAAAGATGAGTAGAAGGCTGCTGGATGAAGAACGTTCTAAGAAGAGGAAATATAAAATCACACAGGCTAGAGTGCAAGGTAGGGAGTGTCTTCACTCTCCATATGTAAAGATATACTCAATCCTACAACAGGGAGTAAGACTATATATTATTGTTCTAATTATTTACATACTAGACTTAGCTTCTTGAGGACAGATCTATGTCATATTCATCTCAATATATCTCATTCTTAGGAGTTCTGTAATTATTTTACGAAAGAGGAAAAAAGGGGTCAACACCCACCCACCCACTATATGAATTTTACTGATACCAAATTAAAGGAACAATAATCCAAAAAATATTATTTCTATCTGGCCCTCAAATTTTTACTTTCATAATTGTATATCATTAATGATATTTACTTTGTATTACTGGTTACATATAAAAGAACAGCCTACAATTAAAGTATGACAATGGGGTATCCATATGTGAATAACTGAGATTTTGATGTCTTTTTTTTTTTTTTTTTTTTTTTTTTTTTTAACGTTTATTTATTTTTGACACAGAGAGAGACAGAATATGAATGGGGGAGGGTCAGAGAGAGAGGGAGACACAGAATTGAAACACACTCCATCCAGGCTCTGAGCTGTCAGCACAGAGCCCGACGCAGGGCTCGAACTCACGGACCATGAGATCATGACCTGAGCCGAAGTCGGACGCTTAACCGACAGAGCCACCCAGGCGTCCCTGATGTCTTTATAAATATATTAAGAAGAAAAAGTATTTTTCTAACTTTGCTATGTTGGCAGAGATGGCTAATTGTTCTTTCCTTTATGTAATAAAATCTCCTAATTATTAGTTGAGCATATGTACACCGAGAAAACGTTTAACAATTTCTCACTTGCCTTATATAGCTACTTGTGGCCAGCCATTTGGCAAAGGTCTGACCAGTAGGAAGTAAGTTGAAATAGTATGTAACACTCTGAAGAGTATCCTTGGCTGCTGTGGGGTTGAATAGGGGGAAAAGGTGGCCTACTGGCCTAGTCTCCTTTCTGCTGATTGGAATGTGGATATGATGGTAGAAACCAGAGCAACAGTCTTGGACCACAAGGAAAAACTTCATTTGGAGATGGCAGGCTAACAAGATGGGAGACTGAGTATCTGATCATTGCTCTCCGTATCAGCCAAGATGACCTATATTTTCATGAAAGATAAATTTCTCTCTGTTGTGAGTTTTCTGTCTCCCATAGACAAACACAATCTTAACCATACGGTTCTGAAAACATATTAAATAGTTACCTGACAAATTCTGTCTGCTGGTTTCACTTTCTCTGTTGCTAGAAGGAGAACCTGGCTCTGAAATGCTGCTCTCCGTTCCTCCCATCAGAGGTCGCAAATGGCTCACAGATACTTGCTCAATAAAAGACGTGCCATGCTTATGGAAGTACCACCATTCAAACATCTATAACAAACAAAAAAATCCTTAAGGTAGAACTGATCACCAGAAATATGAGCTCAAATTAAAACATCTTTCAAGATGTTCCTATTTAATTCAGCACACTACATGCACTCTCCCTCCAAAAAATAAGCCAAACACAAGATTCTCCAATAATATATGTCAGGTAAAAGTACAACTTCGTCATGAAATTTAGACAAGCTTAGGCAAAACTATAAGAAATATATCTATAAATGAAACATTAAAAAATAAGAAACAAGGGTGCTGGCTCAGTTGGCAGAGCATGTGACTCTTGGTCTCCAGGTCATGAGTTTAAGACCATGTTGGCTACAGACATTACTTAACACACACACACACACACACACACACACACACACACACACAAGCAAGAAGCATTTAATCTGTAAGTAATCTAATTCTGATATGTCACATTGTCATTTTATTCTATCTGTAGCATAATGAAAAGAAAAACAATTTTGAAACAATTAGCATGGTGGATTAAGCATTGGACTAAGGTTAGAGAGACCACATTGGACTCCCAGTCAACCTGTGTGCTTTGGGCAAGTCACTTAACCTCTAGCCCCTCAGAACCTCAATATCCTATCTATTAAATATGGTTAACAAGAATTTTAAGTGCCTTTTGAACAATGAAGTACTACTCAGTATTTGGCAGTATAATTAATGTAGGTTGAGGTTGATTCTCCTGTTGAACCATTTAAAAATCAGGATATTCACTTCTTTCTGTTTTCATGGTTTATCACTGTTATAAAAAGAGTAATCAAGGGGTGCCTGGGTGGCTCAGTCAGTTAAGCGTCTGACTCTTGGTCTCGGCTCAGGTCATAATCTCACGGTTTGTGAGTTCGAGACCGCATTGGGCTCTGTTGCTGACAGCGTGGAGCCTGCTTGGGATTCTCTGTCTCCCTCTCTCTCTGCTCCTCCTCCACTGTGCTGTCTCTGTCTCTCTCAAAATAAATAAATAAACTTAAAAAAAAAAAAGAGTAATCAAAAGAAGCTCTCTGTGGGGAGGGGTGCCTGGCTGACTCAGTCAGTAGAGCATGTGGTTCCTCATCTCAGGGTTGTGAGTTCAAGCCCCATGTTGGGCTAGAGATTACTTAAAAAAAAAAAAAAGCTCTCTGTGTTGAATTAACAGAATGTTTCATATTTGGACACTCTAGCATTCTCAACTACATTTGCCTGGTTCTTCTGGGTTTCAGCTTAAATGACAGGTCCTCAGGGAACTTTCCCTGATTCCACAGAACAGAAAGCAGTATTATATGCACTCTTACTGGGTTTTGTGTTTTACTTTAAGAGTAATCTTTACACTTGTAAGAATTTGTTAAACAACCGGCTTCATTGCTATTCTTCAAGTTCCCAAGCACATGACCTCCTACCCCCTCAGGTGGAAGTAACACAAACAGCATAGCTAGCTTCCTCATTTCAGTGGGTAAGAGAAATTATAAACCTAATAATCTTTGCTGATAAAAACTCATCAATAGGGGCGCCTGGGTGGCTCAGTCGGTTGAGCGGCCGACTTCGGCTCAGGTCATGATCTCACGGTCTGTGAGTTCAAGCCCCACGTCGGGCTCTGTGCTGACAGCTCGGAGCCTGGAGCCTGTTTCGGATTCTGTGTCTCCCTCTCTCTGACACTCCCCTGTTCATGCTCTGTCTCTCTCTGTCTCAAAAATAAATAAACGTTAAAAAAAAAAAAAAAAAACTCATCAATATTACAAGGGTAATGACAAAGTTTAACCTTGAAAATGTTACTTGAATTTCCTATTTTTTTTAAAGTATATTGTTATAACCACTCTATTTTACTATTAGTTACTGTTGTTAATCTCTTGCTGCACCTAATTCATTTAATTAAAATTTTTTATTTGAGCATTGTTGATATACAATGTTATATTAGTTTCAGGTATACAACTTAGTGATTCGACTTCTCTATACTATGCTATGCTCACAAATGTACATCTGTCACCATACAATGCTATTATGATATGAATTTCTTAATTTTTGTATTTTTTTTTAAACATTTATTTATTTTTGAGACAGAGAGAGACAGAGCATGAATGGGGGGAGGGCCAGAGAGAGAGGGAGACACAGAATCTGAAGCAGGCTCCAGGCTCTGAGCTGTCAGCACAGAGCCTGACGCGGGGCTCGAACTCACGGACCATGAGATCGTGACCTGAGTGAAGTCGGACGCTCAACCGACTGAGCCACCCAGGCGCCCCAATTTTTGTATATTTAAAACTCTTAAAAATAACAAATTTTAAGAACTACTATATATATAATATACATGTTATGTGTTTCATGCTTATATGATATATATGTAAGTTTCCCCCCTCTTATACATGAGGAAATTAAGACTTAGAGAATTTATGTGACTTGTCCAAAGTTATTAGCTAGTAAGTGGCAGAGCCGAGACTTAAAACTACATCTTCTAGTTCCAAGACTAATGCTTTTCCCACTCATCAGTTATTTAAAGACCGTTCATTTCCTTTATTTAGACTTTTATATGCTACTGACTAAATATGTTAAAACATGCTTAACAATGAGTCAGCTTTATAATCAGTAAATTTTAACTACTTTACCTATATTAACACATAGTTTTCATCCTTAAATTCCTCAGTAATTTTTTTAAGTCAAGATACAAAAATCCCTTTCTTGGCCAGCATTTCACTTAAACAAAGTGGCCAAGTATCAGTTCCTATTAAAACAAAACAGAAAACACTCCAATACACATGCCATTATTTCTACTATAATAGAAGAGCACCATCTAGAGATGAGAACAAAGCATAGAAAAATTCATTGGTTATGCATGCCATACTTCCTAAGATTTTAATCTGTAGCAGTGTTTTTCCAAAGTTTATTCTAGGAAACACTAGTTCCCAGGGATGTTTAATAGAGATTATACACACAGATTTTAATTTCTTAATTGAAAATGATAGCTCAGTCAAATAAAACAAGGGAAAGCTGAATTAAAATTAAATAGGTTTCTTTATCATGACACTTTTCTGAATAATAATGGTCAAAATTCATTAAGTGCTTACTGTGAGCTAGATACCATGTTATTGCAAGCTTTTACACACTTTATCTTATTTAGTCTTCATGATCTTATGAAGTTGATATTATCATTCCCAGTTATTAGATGAGGAAATTAAAGCTTAGAAAAGTTAATTAACTTGCTCAAAGTCACACAACTAAAGAGATCGTTATGAAAACTAATATAATATTGTATGTCAGCTGTTTACTCCAATTAAAATCTCCTGGGGCTCCTGGGTGGCTAGGTTGGTTAAGTGTCCAACTCTTGATCTGAGCTCAGGTCACGATCTCAGGGTTTGTGAGATTGAGCCTGCCATCCAGCTCCATGCTGAGTGTGGAACCTACTTAGGACTCTCTCTCTCTCTCTCTTTCTCTCTCTCTCTCTCTCTCTGCCCCTCCCTCCCTCAAAAAAAAAATCTCCTCTCACAGTTAAAAAATAAAAAAAGTAATGGTTAGCTTGGCTCCAATACTCTGCCCTTAAATACTCCAGAGAAGATAATTGACAACCTATAGGCTGAATTCAAGACACACATTTTTAGTCTGCCCAACATTGCCAAGATTAAAGTATTGGGAGATATACTTGTTGCATCCAGATGCTTTTGAAATCATATGAAAAATTGGAAGATCTCTTAATGGTGGTCTGCAAACCTATATGGCAGCAACTAGCTTTATCCCCTTTAGAAGGGGCATGCATTGTCCAAATTACCAAGTCCTAAAATAAATAAGGAATTTAATTTTTACACTCTGCCCATTTCATTCATTTTTGTTACTAAACTGAGCCCTGCAAGGATTTAGTTGGCAACCCACCTCTAACCACTGCCCCTTACAGTATACAATACTGTTTCATATGCAAATGAATACTATGAATACTGCCAATCTCTAAAAGTGGAGAGGAAGATGCAGTGTTTTATCAAATGCTGAACACATGTTGAAAATCCTGATCTATAAGTATTTACAATTATTGTAACCATATAGAGATTTGATCTTTAGATAAATACCAAAACATGAAGGAAATGGAAACTACTTACAAATATTAGTCCTGATATCAAAGAAGATGTTCCTGTAAGTGCCACATAGAATTTGGGCGTCAATGAATTTAAAAATACTGTCACTGCCAAAAGGAAAACAAAATACCAAAGTTTAAAAAAATGTAAATTCAAATATTCAAGTTACAAATAGGCAGGTGTCTTTATGAGTGGAGGAATATAAATAGTATTAATATCTAGTATCAGATTCATCTGAGAAAGTTGTAGTTTTTAAAAAGCTACTTTAAATTCCCATTCTATGGTAACTTAAAAATCATTCTATTGGGTGCCTAGGTGGCTCAGTTCATTAAGCAGAACTATTGATTTCGGTTCAGATCCCAATCCCACAGTTCAGTTTGTGAGATAAAGCCCAGAGTCTGCAGTACAGAGCCTGCTTGGGATTCTCTCTCTCTCTCTCTCTCTCTCTCTCTCTCTCTCTCCCTGCCCTTCCCCTACTTGTGTGCACGCGCACACACACACACACACACTCTCTCTCTCTTTCAAAATAAATAAACATTAAAAAAATGCCTTAGAACATGTAAGGGTAGCGTAAAAAAATTTTTTTTTACATTTATTTATTTTTGAGAGGCAGAGACAGAAAGAGAGCACACACAAGTGGGGATGGGGCAGAGAGAGAGGGAGACACAGAACCCGAAGCAGGCTCCAGGCTCTGAGCTGTCAGTACAGAGCTCAACATGGGGCTCGAACCCAAAACCCTGAGATCATGACCTGAGCTGAAGTCGGATGCTTAACCAACTGAGCCACCCAGGCACCTCTGTAAGGGGAGCATTTTAAACTGATGATTTGTTAAATAAGCAAATCAAAATGAGATAATTTAGTTTACTTTTGAGAATAAAATTAAGAACTTATAAATCATAACTTCGACAAGAAGTTTTACAAATCTTTAAGGATTAACTAAACACTCTGTTACAAATGAGGTTTAAAACCACTCCCTAATTATTTTGGTGAGATACAAACCAGTGTTTCAAATTAGAGGGAAGGAAACAGCATGTAGATGTGTTTGGTATGTCAGCTAGAGAGGCAAAATAAACCAAAAAGAATAACAGCAAACTGAGAGCTCCTTGCACCTGACTCACTGAAAGCCTGGACCAGACTCTTCACTTCAAATAACTGTCTCATAAATACTTTGGGTTTCAGAAATAAATAAAAATCTATCATAGTTAACTACTCTCACCTACGTGGTGTATCTCGTTAATATGTAGAAAAATAATTTTTCTACGTTGACGAAGTCAAATTCAATTAGCTCTTTCAAAAAGTCTAGGAAGGCCAATTTTTTAGTTTTAGTGTGTTAGTTATATCTGACTGAACTTACATAAAACCTAAGTTCGGAAAAGTCCAAAATATTTCAGAACATTATCTCACAGTATTTCATGTCATCTGGTGAAATAGAAAAGGGGACATTTGCCTTGCTACAGAAAATAAACCACAAGTGCTGCTAGTCACAGTCATCACACAACAGAAATACTTTCATCTTGCTCATAGTTTGAGTGAAAATATTGTAATGACATGGTAAGAGGGCCTGGCTCCCATCCACTTTGTCCTGGCTACAGGTAAAGGACAGTATTTGCAGAATCCACGGGGATCATCACTTCTTCCATGTCTGTATCTTCAGCTCAGACTACATAGCAAGCTCTCTACAAACGTTTAAAGCAAGAACTAAGAACCCACTACTGTTTGTGGCTCCCTTTCCCTTTACTTCCTGGACTATTCTATTACTCAAGCCTAAAGCAAAGAACAGACAAAAATACCACGAAATGTATTTCTTGACAGAACTATCTTAAAACATGATAATGGTCGGCTAAGATCTTGGCATTTTCCCCCTTTTAGGCCTTTGAATAGAGAGCGCTCATCTTTGTTGTCTAGGTGTGGGAACGCTCAGCTAATCGGCGAGACTCAAAGGAATGGTTTTCAAGGGATCCTACCAATGGTGGGGTGTATATAAATTCTGCAGCCAATCTGGAGACGCTCTCATCTGTTTCACTACCTGAAGCTTACAGCTTGTCAGGTGGCTTTTCATCGGTAAACGAAGACAGAAGAGAAAGGGCGGGTCTTAAGAGCTCAAGGGAGGAGCCCGTATCTGCAGCTCAGGTTTGACAATCAGCTGGGGAGTTGCGGCCCAAGAGAAAAAGAACCCACTAGGTCGCGCACCACCGTCTCAATCTCCAAAGCCCTCCAGTGACTGCAGAGAATCTCTGCCCTTTGCCCCTTGTCCCCGGCCCCTCTCCTGGTTCCCCCGCCCATCCCCAGGGAGGTCTGGGCCTCTCACCCGCTGCCAAATTCTCACACAGCCTCAGCGGGACCCTCAGAACGTAAAGCAGTCCCAGTCCCGCCACGAACCACAGCGAGGCCCCAGTCCCAGCCAGCCCAGCCCGCAGCCGCTCCCTCCAGCCCAGGGACAGGCTTTGGCCGGGAGCAGGTGCGGGAGGAGATGCCGCAGCAGTCGCTGCTTCACCTAAGCCGTCACCGTCCGCCATCTTGCTGCACCCGCAGGCTCTGGGAGCTGGGAGGGGAGAAGGGCAGGAAACCGGGAGGCGGGAATCCTGGGATAGTGGCGGACCTGAAGTTGGCCTCTGTGAAGGCTGTCTCAGGGAACGCGGACCAAGAAAATTTGGAAGGTGGAGGAGCATCCCAGGGCTGCCTCTTCCTTCGAAGGGCGGGAAGGGGTGGTTAGCGGCACCCTTTCCGGAGGAACTGGACTGAAATGTGACCTCGGAGTGAAATGTTTTTGCTTCCATACGAGTGAGGGTCACCTTTCACCCTGTTCTTGGGTTTGGAAAAGCCACTGACCGTTCCAGGGCCCGAGCAGCACTTAGCCCTTTGGACTCGGCTGCCACGGAGATCACTGGTACTGGGAAAACCTACAGTAGCAATTGCTATTTGGTCGGATGGAGCTTGGGCGTCAGGAATAGTCGAATCACGCTCCCATCGTCTCGTAGATGAATGGGGAAATGAATGTAACTCCGTGAGAAAGTTATTAGACTTAAAATCATTTAAAGCAAAGCCTTAAGGCAGCCGGAGATTTCTGGAGTACCCGCGCTCGGAGCCACCACCCTCGCCCGTAACTGACATGGCGCCCTCTCGGTCGGCGTTTCCGGGCGGGTCCTTCCGACGGCCCCCGCGGTGATTCCATCATTCGGCTTCCTTCCCGGCCTGCCTCGCGCCCGGGCCGGGCTGGGCCAGAGCAGCCCAAGATGGCCGACTTCGAGGATCGGGTGTCGGATGAGGAGAAGGTAAGGGGTCCGCCTCTCTCTCTTGCCTCCTCCCGCGACAGGGAACAGGGGCCCGACCTGGCTGTGGTGGGAACCCCGGCAGTGTCCCCAGGAAAAAGAAGCTTCTTGGCCGGTGCTGGCATACGCTCTGTAGTTGGGACGCTTTGCTCTTGAGGGGCTTTCCTCTGCCTCACGGTGGCCCCAGTTCCCTATTCCTTAACTCTCTTTTTCTCCTGCGGGGCCTGAGGCACAGCCCAGTGACCTTCCTGCAAGAGACGAGATTTTGCCTTATTGAATCATGACTGTGGACTCTTTTCTGTAATTAAGAGAGGGGGCGATGGTGATGTCTGGACGTGTCAGGAAGCAGTTATTTTACCGCCTTTAGCTGTCGGGGCTCTCCCCATCCCCCCATTTTTAGATATGATTGAGGCTAGTTTAGGGCGAGTCACTTCCTGGTCAGAGTGGCCTCTTAACTTCCCTTTTGCTCCTCCTTCCTCAGGAAGTGATTTTGCTGTCACGACTCTTCGACAGGGAGAGGTCCCCATGTGTTGTCCGTCCCTCCACTCTTTTCTCGCTTACGATCGGCTGAACTAATTCTCAGTAATAAGTGTGTAAGCCTCAGGACATTTGCTTCAGAATTTGAACACCACTCTTCTCTGTAGACAGTCCCTTGATTGATCGTGTGCATGTATGTAAGCCCGCGATGACTCCATCCCTTGCGCCTTACATCCTATTAACGGTAATTTTTGAAAAATAGTTTTCTGTTTCTTAACAAATCGAGAATAGCCAGAGGATTTTTTTTTTTTAACTCTGTAAAGGTTTAATATAGCACATAAACTTCATGTTAACACATTCAAGTTTGGACAAAGCATCGTGCCTTCTTCGATGCTCCACTGTGTGGTCTTTGATTATAGTTAAATTTATCAGCGTGTTAAGTGCTTATTTACTTCTTAAAAAGTATTTGAAACATAAGAGCATATTCTGTGTTAGGTAGAATAACTTTTTGTTGACAACTGCACGCATTTCTTAACACTTTTCAGGCTTTTCAGTAAATACTTGATTTTAGGGTCTGTAGAAATTAGAATGATTTCACTAGGTGACTTGTTATAGGACAAGAATTATGTCTTTTGTTTCCCCCATTGGCTGTTACAAAATGTGCACTCTTGCATGCTCTGTAAATATATCTGGGCTCTTTATTTTTTTAATAAGAGAGATGGGGATGACAGAGGGGTGACTGTTTATAATCCAGGAGTACTCCATACAGAATAATTTGATATTATACCTACGTATAGCATGTCATTTTGAAATACTGGAGAATGTGGTAAACGTTCACAAGCCATTGAACAATACTTTAGCATTAAATTTTCTCGTTCTTGAAAATTCTCGTGTAAAACTTAGAGAAGAAAAGAGCATCTTACATATGAATTAACGCTGAAGAGAAGTCCATGATAAAATGTCTTGGCTAAGGTAAATAGTTATGATTCGGATGAAAGTATAGTAAAAATCGGGAATAACGAAACATTGTTAGCCCAACTGATGGCCCACTTATTTTAAGGAAAAATATTGTTACAGCAAAATTTCACTAAAAACTTAAATAACAGTAAACTTCAAAGTTTATGGTGTCCAAACAATACTACATTTACCAGTATTGTGGGTTTTTGTCTTTGAGGCTAAGTTAGAATGCCCTTTTAATTAAACTTGGGAAAATATACATGTATTTTAAAGTGCAAATCAAGATGTCTTTGGATGTTGACAATGTTTAATAACATCAATAGTCTTAATTTTGTAACAGTAAATTTGTGAAGTGTCCTCTTATCTCCCAGCATTTCTTTTGTTGCCTAATATTAATTAATAATGAAACAGCAAGCAAATCAAAATTAGTACTGTAAATCTGCCCAAAAATGCTGATGAATTTCATATTTCATCAACAGTTTTTAGATTAGCCACATTTCTTTATTATTGTGAACAACTAAGAATAGCTGATACTAAGAAGTCTCATATAATCCATATGATTTGAGATTACTGAAATTTTGTTAGGTTCTTATTCCCAGACAGAACTTGATCTGTATTTCTCTGTTGTGAATCTCTAAGTAAAAAGAAAGGGCCTTGATATCTAAGATTACCTCAGTTTTCCTTTAGCTTCATACCTACACCGAGCCCTTTTCCTCCAGGCTTCTAATTCCTTTTAACTGAATTCAGGAATTGGAAGTATTTTTCCAACAAGACTTGTTGCTATGAATATCTTAGCATTCATAAACAGTAGTAACCCTTAAGTGAGATCTTGTCCTATAAAATTTTCACAACCAAGGCACTATTACAAATTTTTAAAATCAAGATATTTTCAGCCATAATTTGTATAGATTCTTCCTTGAAGGAACTCTAAAGTTTCCATTTTTTCCTCTTTTTAACTAAGATCTCAACTGCGTTTTATTTGAGTTTTTTTTTCAGGCGTATATGTCATCACATGGAATATATTTTAATATCACTTTTTATCTTTGTTGCATTTCCTGAAAGCAGTGAACCCAAAGATGAATTTGGTGTTGATAGTCTCTGATTTCCTTGCAAGTATTTCTATAAAAGCTAGTAAGATCAGCCATTCTGATAAGTAACTGCTTAGGTTTTTATCACTTTACAAAGAGGAAGTTGGGTTTTTTTAACTTCTACATTGTTACCTGAAATGGTCATGATGAGCTGCCTAAATAAAACAGGAAGCTGAAAGTGTAATAACTTGCAGAAATAAATGCTTTTAGTTTTGTCCTCGAGTTCAGTTTCTGAGAATGAGCTACACTCTTCTAGTCACTGACTCTTCAGTTCCAAATGCTTAACAGGACCAAAGTGACAAGATACCATAATTAGGAAATTTGAAATGTGAGAAGAATTACTTGTTTGGGCTCATTGCACTGTTTCCTTTATTTCATGATTCAGCATTTAAAAAAAATAATTGCAGAGAGAATTTTAAGGCTGAAAAAAGTGCAATTAGCATATTTTCCCCTTCAGCTTAACTATTAGAATATTTGTGAACAACCTCAAAAATGCCATAAGAGAGAAACGAATGCTTAAAGCTTAGACAACTATGTCATCTTTAAGGCACTTTTTGGAACGGGTTTATCAAAATTGTTGAGGAAAGATGTGAAAAATGGTAATTTGAGGGCTCAGAACTTATGAAAAATACACCTTTTTTAAAAATTAATTAATTAATTAATTTTGAGGAGGTGGGGTGGAGAGAGAGGAGCCCAATGCAGGGCTGGAACTCATGAACCGTGAGATCCTGACCTGAGCCGAAACCAGGAGTCCAGCGCTCAACCAACTAAGCTACCTCGCTGCTGCATGAAAAATATACTTCTAAACTGTATTTTTTTGATTATGTATTACATCCTTAATTTACTAGATGAGTTATTACCCTTACAGGATAAACTCTAGAGCTTATTTGCTATAGGTATTTTCTAAAAGTCATTAATTAGTATTAATACTGCTGTTCTTTTATGTTCTCTTTTTTTCAGTTAGCTTTGCTGAGTAGTATTTATAGAATCTGTCACAAAATCCTTGGACAGGAGCATAAAGCCTAAACAGATACAAACTCAGATGCCCAATCTTTGGTGTAGGTTTATAATTTCTTCCATAGTATCTAGCTCTTTTATTAGGACCAGCCTTAATACTAAGCAAAGTAGCATAATTTGTCAAAAAATCAGGCCCCAGGTTTGTCTGATTCAGAAGCCGTGCTTTTTTCACTTTACTGTTTTTCCCATTTAACCATGAGTGAGAAATACAAAATAGAGGTATCCATTTAATGAATTAAAACTGAAATATTGTGATGTAATGGGAAAGAATGATTCTGAATGTCAGGAGATTTGGCCTCTCTTTGCTGAGTTTATAGCCACCAGTGTGATTCTAGAAACATCACTTATCTCTGTGGGCCTCAGTTTTCTTGTAAAATAGGTAAGGAGAAATGGATCAAGGTAACCCAACAAAATTTAATGAACTTCTACAAACTGTAATAAAAAAAAAAATCTTTGTTTTAAAAATTGAGACATTAAAATGTTTCAGGAGTTTCTGTCATTGTCTGCTTTTGCACATTTGCCCTGATAACAGAACTGTGAATTCTTTTGTAACTGAAAGCATATCTTTTTATGCTAGTACCTAGCATAGGACCAAGTACATAGTGTAGGGACAACCTTTTGATACAAAGGAGACCAACCAAACACACCTTTCTTCATTCTCATATTTCCCCAGCTCATGCTCCCTCACCCCACCTCCCAATTATTTCTGGTAATCTCTAGGTATTTCTTGAGTTCAGGAACGTGTCCACAATCTGGGTTTTTCTTTGGGCATTCATTGTGTCTAAGTATCTGCTGCCATTACTGATGATCTGCCATGCCACTGCTGGGAACATTAGATCCCTCTGGAGCCGTTTTAGTAGTAAATCCCATAAAGCTACAAAGCATTATACATACCAAAATGACTATGAATATATACATCTAGCCTTGCAGAACCCCTAATAGAAGTATTTCCTTCATCTGCTTTAAGTTCTCTCCTTTAGAGCTCAGAAAAACACACGCTATAAGGTTAGGTATCATTTGTGCTTTTCTCCTCAGGTGCATGAGTTTATCTCGTTTTCTTGCATGCCAAAAAAGAAAAAAACTTCTTATGTGGATCGGCTCCTGAAAATAAAAACCCTGGGTAGGAAAAATCAGTCATGATACTGAAGACAATTTAACTACTTGGGGATTTCTGAACTAGGTGATGATTTTAATATGCACTTAACTGTTATTTTCCCTTTTCCCTTTATCAGAACCTCCTGCAGATCCTTTGCATTTCAGTTCATCTCATCATTGTTCCCTTGTAGTCACACAGGCTCAGAACATTAGCATCATTTTTTTTCCTTCTTAGCCTCTTCTCTCATGTTCAGTTAGTATTCCAGTTCTGTAAATTCTTCCTGCCATTAGATTCTGTTCCTCCATTTCCATTAGTATTTTTGAGAAAAATTATTTTTTGGTGTATAGGAACTATAATCAGATTACATG